CTCCAATGGCCTCTGGCACACCACACAGTCACCGCGTGGACCGTACCTCCGCTGGGCCTCCCAGGAGCCCACGAAAGTGGCGACAGTTGCGCAGATCGCAAGCCCCGCAGGGTGGCGGCGAAGTACCGAGGTGATCCGCGTGGGACGTACTCCGCTGGGCCTCCCAGCAGCCCACGAAAGTGGCGACAATTCCGCAGATCGCAAGCCCCCCAGGGGGCGGCGAGGTACCGGGGTGATCCGCGTGGGACGTACCTCCGCTGGGCCTCCCAGGAGCCCACGAAAGTGGCGACAATTGCGCAGATCGCAAGCCCCCCAGAAGGGCGGCGACGTACCGAGGTGATCCGCATGGACCGTACCTCCGCTGGGCCTGCCAGGAGCCCACGAAAGTGGCCACTGTTGCGCAGATCGCAAGCTCCCCAAGGGGGCGGCGAGATACCGAGGTGATCCGCGTGGACCGTACCCCCGCTGGGCCTCCCAGGACCCCACGGAAAAGGCGACAATGCACAGATCGCAAGCCCCCCCGGGGGCGGCGAGGTACCGAGGTGATCCGCGTGGGACGTACCTCCGCTGGGCCTCCCAGGAGCCCACGAAAAAGCGACAATTGCGCAGATCGCAAGCCCCCGTCGGGGATGTTCTGACCCGGGTCAATCCAGACCCGGGTCAGCAGGAAACCAAAAACTGCAATGCAGGAAAAAAAAACTGCAACGCAGATCTTCGCAAACCCGGGTCAGCCAATATGCGCGGCCGCCCTCGCGGCCACGAGCGGCTGGCTAACCCGGGTCAGCCAGAGGGGGTCTTCGCAGGTTCCTGAAGGATCTGGCGCCCTGGCTGACACCCGTTTGCACTGACCCCCGTCTCAAGGCTCCCGACCCCGAGGGGGCGGCGAGGTACCGGGGTGATCCGCTGGACGTACTCCGCTGGGCCTCCCAGCGGCCCACGAAAGTGGCGACAATTGTGCAGATCGCAAGCCCCCCCAAGGGGCGGCGACGTACCGAGGTGATCCGCATGGACCGTACCTTCGCTGGGCCTCCCAGCGGCCCACGAAAGTGGCGACTGTTGCGTAGATCACAAGCCCCCCAGGGGGGCGGCGAAGTACCGAGGTGATCCGCGTGGGACGTACTCCGCTGGGCCTCCCAGCAGCCCACGAAAGTGGCGACAATTGTGCAGATCGCAAGCCCCCCGGAGGGGCGGCGAGGTACCGAGGTGATCTGCATGGACCGTACCTCTGCTGGGCCTCCCAGGAGCCCACGTGAGTGGCGACAATTGCGCAGATCGCAAGCCCCCCAGAAGGGCGGCGAAGTACCGAGGTGATCCGCGTGGGACGTACCTCCGCTGGGCCTCCCAGGAGCCCACGAAAGTGGCAACTGTTGCGCAGATCGCAAGCCCCCCAAGAGGCGGCGAGGTATCGAGGTGATCCGCGTGGACCGTACCTCCGCTGGGCCTCCCAAGAGCCCACGTAAATGGCGACAATTGCACAGATCGCAAGCCCCCCAAGAGCCGGCGAGGTACCGAGGTGATCCGCGTGGGACGTACCTCCGCTGGGCCTCCCAGCGGCCCACGAAAGTGGCAACTGTTGCGCAGATCGCAAGCCCCCCAGGGGGCGGCGAAGTACCGAGGTGATCCGCATGGGACGTACCTCCGCTGGGCCTCCCAGGAGCCCACGAAAGTGGCGACAATTGCGCAGATCGCAAGCCCCCCAAGGGGCGGCGAGGTACCGATGTGATCCGCATGGACCGTACCTCCGCTGGGCCTGCCAGGAGCCCACGAAAGTGGCCACTGTTGCGCAGATCGCAAGCCCCCCCGGCGAGATACCGGGGTGATCCGCGTGGACCGTACCTCCGCTGGGCCTCCCAGGAAACCACGGAAAAGGAAACAGTTGCGCAGATCGCAAGCCCCCCAGGGGGCAGCGAGGTACCCGGGTGATCTGCGTTGGACGTACCTCCGCTGGGCCTCCCAGCGGCCCACGAAAGTGGCAACTGTTGCGCAGATCGCAAGCCCCCTAGGGGGCGGCGATGTACCGAGGTGATGCGCGTGGACCGTACCTCCGCCGGGCCAGGAAACCACGAAAGTGGCGACTGTTGCGCAGATCGCAAGCCCCCCCAGGGGGCGGCGAGGTGCCGAGGTGATCCGTGTGGGTCTTACCTCCGCTGGGCCTCCCAGCGGCCCACGAAAGTGGCGACAGTTGCGCAGATCGCAAGCCCCCAAGGGAGCGGCGAGGTACCGAGGTGATCCGCGTGGGACGTAGCTCCGCTGGGCCTCCCAGGAGCCCACGAAAGTGGCGACTGTTGTGCAGATCGCAGACGGCACGAGAGAAGAGGAGAAGGGAACAGAGGAGACAGGAGAGAAGGAGGAGAGGAGAGGAGGAGGAGGAGGAGGAGGAGGAGGAGGAGGAGGAGGAGGAGGAGGAGGAGGAGGTGAAGACCACACTGCTCTATTCAGAACGAACACCCTAACACCACAGGGTTGAGAAAAAGCTTCGAAAACCAGCGGGGCACCGAAAACCAAAGATGCGCCGAAGACCACACGAGCCCCGAACACCAAAGATGTGCCGAAGACCAGACATGCGCCGAAAACCAAAAAATGAGCCGAAAACCAACGGGGCGCTGAAAACCAAAAGGGCGCCGAAAACCAAAGGGGCGCCGAAAACCAAAGGGGCGCCGAAAACCAAAGAGGGGCCGAAAACTAAAGAAGCGCCGAAAACCAAAGGGTCGCGGGAAACCAACGATGCGCCGAAAACCAAAGGGGCGCCGAAAACCAAAAGAGCGCCGAAAACCAAAAGGGCGCCGAAAACCAAAAATGGCGCCGAAACCCAAAATAGCGGGAAAAACTAAAGAATCGCCGAAAACCAAAGGGGCGCGGGAAACCAACGATGCGCCGAAAACCAACGGGGCGCTGAACACCAACAGGGCGCCGAAAACCAAAGGGGCGCCGAAAACCAAAAATGACGCCGAAGCCCGAAATAGCAGCAAAAACTAAAGAATCGCCGAAAACCAAAGGGGCGCCGAAAACCAAAAGGCGCCGAAATTCAAAGGGGCGCCGAAAACCAAAAGAACGCCGACAACCAAGAGGGTGTCGAAGACCAAAGATACGCCGAAAACCAAAAAAGGGACGCCGAAAACCAAAGGGGCGCCACAGGCCAAAGGGGCGCCGAACACCAAAGAAGCGCAAAAAAACAGAGACGCCGAAAACCGAACATACGCAGAAAAATCGATGGTGCGCCGAAAACCATTATAACAAAAAAAACGTAGTTTCGAACCCCTGGCTTGCAGCTGGACGTGCCAACAGAAGGAGGCGAGGGGGAGGGAGCTTTGGAAGGCCCGCCCCCTTTGGAAAGGGGAGCCGGGGCTCACCCCAGGGCCCGAAAAGGAGGGGAGGGGGGGGTACTTCCAAACCCCCCCTTTTGCCAGGGACCCCCCAGCTACAAAATCCAAACAAAAAGGGGGGTAGCTTCGGAAGGCCCCCCCCTTTGAAAGGGGAGCCCGGGCTGACCTCGGGCTCCGAGGTCAAAGAAGGGGGGGAGCTTGGAGGCCCCCCCTTAAGCTAGGGCCCCCCTAGCTCCGAAATGTCCACAGCAGGAAGGGAGGGGGGGTTGCTTCGGACGCCCCCCCTCCTTTTCCAAATGGGGGGGGGAGCTTCAAGCTGAGGCCCTCCATTTAGTGAGAGGTGTGCCACGAGCGCGCTCTTCCCTACCTCCCCACTGAGGCCCATCAGCGGCGGCGGCTGCGGGGTCCGACCGAGGGAGGGAGCGAGGAAGGAGGGGAGGGAGGGAGTAGGCGAAGGAGGGCGGCGGCGGCGAAGCTCGGCAGATGCACCAGTCAGACTGGCCAGACCGCAAGACCAGGAGAGCTCAGGCGGGCACACCGGGTGCGCTGCGAAGCGGGATTGCGCCGCGAGGGGTGCTCCACTCCAGGGAGGACGAGGGACGAGGGAGGGACCCGGACCCTCGACGTCATGAGAATCACTTTCACGACGTGGACCCCCAAGAGGTCTGGGCCCATCCCGCGGTTTGGGCTTTCCGTCCCGAGTCTAGGGCGGCGAGATCTATACATATCCACTGCTCCCTGGCCAGGCCCAGCCTGAACCCAGCAGCGGTGCATACGCCACGCGCTCCTGGCTTGGCCAGGAGGGCGTATACACAGCTCGTGAGCTCAGGATGGGCCTGGCCGGGGAGCAGTGGATATGTATAGACCTCGCCGCCCGAGAGGAGGAGGAGGAGGAGGAGGAGGAGGAGGAGGAGGAGGAGGAGGAGGAGGAGGAGGAGGGAGGAGGAAGGAGCCTCCGGCTCCCTGAGAGTCGGGAGGGGAGGCAGGCAGGGCTCTCTTCGCCAGGTGGGGCGTGCCAACCTGTAGCGCGTGGATGAAGAGGTCCCAGGGCACACAAAGAAATACACAAAAAAAACATATTCCCAATATTTTCCCATATTTCCTGGGTTTCTGTCTTCCCCCCACTTCCCATATTTTCCCATATGTTCTGGGGAATCGAGGATTACTTGTGTCTGTGTGTCTCTTTTCCTCCTGAGTGAAGTACACACTCTCAAAGACCGACGTTTTCCCCTGGCACCTGAGCCCTGGCCCAGCCTCGGGTGAAGCTCGGCGTCCCTGCCCTCCCGAGAGAAGCCCCGCCGCCTTCTGAGCAGGCCTGCCCCCTCTCTCCCCCGCGGGTGCGCCGCCGAGGGAGGACGGGGAGGACGCCCTCCCCGCACCCACACCTCGCCCCCCTCCCCCCAAACCCCAAGGATCGGGGAGACGTAAGACTCGGGTACGGGGGAATCGGGTTCGCCTGACGGGGCCGTCATAAAAATGACGAGACCCAGCCTGAAACTTGACGCGAGCTCCCGCTGCAAACATCGCACGAAGACTGGACCGCTAAAATCCAGAACGCGCTCGTCGAAAAATGTCGGCAACACCGAGTTCTGGCTTACTCGAGACTTGCGCTTCCCCGAAAAAAGGCAGAAGGCCCGCCGAGGGGGCGCCGGTGCCGAGACCGGCTGGGCCCGAGGCCATCTCGCCAGTGAAGGCGCCGCAGCCCTGGCGAAACGAGGCGCGCCGGCGACGACAAAGGCGACGAAGGACGGCGGCGGCGGCGACGCACGACGACAATCGGCGACGAGCCCTGAGATCTGGGCGTTGTCAATTTTTTCACACTGCGTATTGCCGCCTGGTTTCGGGACCCGGCACCCTCACAGACCGATCCCGCCCAAAAAATGCCGCAGAACGGTGGGGTCGTGATTTCCTGCGATGGTGTATGTTTGGTGCCAACGTCGGACCTCATGGGGGCGACAACCGACGGCGACGCCGACGCCGACGACGACGACGGCGACGGCGACGACGCCTCCCATCCCCGCCTCTGCGCTCCCCATGTCCATTCCGGAACACACACGCGCGCACACTTTTGGAATCGTGGCCCTGCGCGCGGCGGCAGGGCGTGAAGGTTTGGAAACAGCAAATTGCGCGAGCGCGCGTCTAGGCCCGCCCGAACACTCAGAGACCACCTTCACACGCGCACACACGCACGCACGCAATCAAACACACACACACACACACGCACGCACACACACACACACACACGCACACGCACACACGCACACACACACACACGCACTTGTTCCTCCTTGGGAGAGGTGACGGCACCGTCGCGACTGATTGAACGGGACGCGATCAAACGTGCTGCATGGCAACCGGCCTTGTGGTGCGTGTGCAGGCGGCGAAGAAGGGTGTGTGCACCCCAGTACAAAACACGTGTTACCCTGGTGCAAAGGCAGAGACATGCAAAACGGCCGGGAGGAGACCCAGAGGACGCGCGAAGACGGCACACAGCTGTGCCCATCCGTCAAGGCGACGGCACCACCGCGAGTGCAAGAACGGGAAACGATTGAGCATGTCGTCTGGTGGGGGCCTTCGCTAGGCAAGTCAGCGTGCAGGGAACAGCGCCCAGCGACGACGACACACACACACACACCACAAGTATCGCGCGCCCCACAAGGAGCTTCGCCGATCGTCCCAGCGATGGACTTGGCATGGTGTGCCCCCGCCACTGTTCGGCCCAGCCCTCTCGTTCATCATGCACCCACCACAGGTTGCTCCAGATATGTCCTCGCATGGCGTCCTCTGGCCCATTTCTGCACGCCCCGCACACCGCTCGTGCCCAATAGGCAACTCCACATATGGCCCCAGCGGGGCGGCACGCCCGTCACGCATATCGAGCCCCGCAGGGAAGGCCCCTTCTGGCCCAAGCGCAGGAACTATCGCCGCAGCGCTGTGTGAATGCTCGCTTCGCCAGCACCCCTATTCCATCCCCCATTTCCCTCCTCCACCTCTCCTCCCAATCTCCACCGACCTCTTCATCTCTCTTCCTTTTTGTTCCTGCCCCTGGCCATTTCAAATGTCGGCTGACCCGTCAAATGTACTGTGGGCCACAAGGAGCTTCACCCACGGCTGGAAAGACAAGACTCGCATGGCGCCAACGCCCCCGACATACTCTGGTGCACCCATCGAGGGGATGGCGCCCCACGGGGAGCCTCACCTACAGCGCTAGGTGCGTGATTCGTATAGCGCCCCTCCGCCCGCCCATTGTGCCACACATGCACACACATGCACACACACACATCTCACGCAGATCGGTCCCCATGGTGGGCTCCATGAATGGCCTTAACAGATGAACTCGCACAACATCGCCCTGCTACTTCTGACTCGCACATCCCGCGGATCGGCAGAGAATGCAACACATGGTCTCAACAGCCGAAATCGAGAAGAGCCTCACTTCTGAACCCTCCACGCGAAACAGATACATAAGGACCTCTGCCGATGATCTCAACAAGAGAGCTCGCGTTAGCGCCCCCCCTTCAATTGAGCACACTCTTCTCGCGGAGCGTGCCCCGCAGAGAAATCCATCTACGGCTTTAACGGCGGCGTTCGAGTACCGTCCCCCAGCCCACTTCAAAACTCCCCTCACGCGGATCGTGTCCGCAGAACACAACGCCTACGGCTTATGGCCTCAGCGAGTACGCTCACATGCGTACCGCATCATATCTGCACACGCCCCTCACGCGGATCTTGCCCACACACAGGGAGCTCCGCCTACTGCCTCACTGGGAGCGTCAACGCAGTGGCTGACGCCCAATTCACCCCACCACCCTACGCAGATGGCGCCACGCAAGGAGTTCAGTGCGCCTCTGCACGTTGCCTTCCCAACCCCCTCTCCACAACCCCATACGGCGCTAAGCATTACGAATATCGTTTAACCGATCCCCATCCCCAGCGGCGTGGCCCGGGCCCCACTGGCCGATTTACCCCCCTAGACGGGGATATAGGTCGTTCCCTTCGGGTTTCGAGGAGTGTATCCCCAACTGGGGTTGTAATTTGGTGGGGGTCTCGAAGGGGATGAGGATTGGGAATGGGGATTGGTTAAACGATACCGACATTAGGAAGAACGGCTCACGCACTTCGGCGCACGCGAATGCACAGGGTCTGACGCTTCGCCCGCATGTTCTCTGGCGCCTCGAGGTGCAAAGAGCCGAGGCCACCTGCACGCCACCAAATGTCCTGGCGCTCCCCGGTTGGTGTCGGCCTCGTCTTGGGCGGCCTTTCTCTCCCCGCCCCTGGCCCTGCCGTGGCCCGACAGTCCCCGGCTTGCTGCCTTCTTTGTCCTCTCCCGCCCTCCCGCCCGCCCGCCCGGCCCTGGCATCCCGCCTACGCTTTCGTCGTCGTCACCTGCCTGACTTCCTCCCCCTCTTCCTCGCGTGGCATCGATGGCTGCCAGGAGTCGGCCGCATGCCAGCAATTTTCGAAGGCCCCCCCCCCCCGCAAAGCACCCTCCTTTCGGACCGCCCGGCCTGACGGGCGAGGAGGACGACAGCAAGGACGACGAAGGCCCTCGGCCTCCGCTCAGCTCAGGGCTGCCCAGGACCTTCGTTGTCCTCACCCTCGCCATCACCGTCGTCATCGCCTTCGCCTTCGTCGTCGTCGCTACCGCACCCGAGGAGAACAACCATTGAACACACTGCGAAGCGTCATCAGGAAAGCTTAAGGACAACTTGACAGAGCCCCGAAAAGGCACCAGAGGGCCGAGAGAAGTCCAAAAGAAGGTGAAGCCTTCTCTTGCTTGCTAACACGCCATGTGCAGGAGATCGTACTGCTGCTAACAGGGCCTGAGTGAGATAGCGACGGCGTATGTATCCACTGGACTGAAGGAGATGTGGCTATGAGTAGACGACTTTCTGATGTCTAAATGAGGAAGGCCGAACGGAAATAAAAGAAGATCCGCCGGCCCCCTTGTGGGGCCACCAGGCTGCGAGGAGCGGGATTCGCAGTTTCCTGTACCAGTTGTAGCTTGTAGTTTCCAGTGTTACAATTCTGCTTATTGCTGGTTACTGTAACTAATTGATTGACCGCGCGAGGGGGGGGAGGCCCAAACCGGCTTTTTAGCACCCCCTGGGCGCGTTGTCTGAATTACTGGGGGGGCTCGAAATCGACACCCCTCACGCAGATCCGCGGGGTCAGGGTCCAAAAACACATGGGATTTGCCACATTTCTGAAATTCGGTGCCACCCCTCACGCAGATCCGCGGGGTCAGGGTCCAAAAACACAGGGATTTGCCACATTTCTGAAATTCGGTGCCACCCCTCACGCAGATCCGCGGGGTCAGGGTCCAAAAACACATGGGATTTGCCACATTTCTGAAATTCGGTGCCACCCCTCACGCAGATCCGCGGGGTCAGGGTCCAAAAACACATGGGATTTGCCACATTTCTGAAATTCGGTGCCACCCCTCACGCAGATCCGCGGGGTCAGGGTCCAAAAACACAGGGGATTTGCCACATTTCTGAAATTCTGTGCCACCCCTCACGCAGATCCGCGGGGTCAGGGTCCAAAAACACATGGGATTTGCCACATTTCTGAAATTCGGTGCCACCCCTCACGCAGATCCGCGGGGTCAGGGTCCAAAAACATAGGGGATTTGCTACATTTGTGAAATTCGGTGCCACCCCTCACGCAGATCCGCGGGGTCAGGGTCCAAAAACACATGGGATTTGCCACATTTCTGAAATTCGGCGCCACCCCTTACGCAGATCCGCGGGGTCAGGGTCCAAAAACACATGGGATTTGCCACATTTCTGAAATTCGGTGCCACCCTTCACGCACATCCATCGCAAGGCGTGGTAACCCAAACTGCGAGAACTCCCTCGGCCCTTTAATCGCAAGGTGTGGTAACCAAGCCCGTAAACCATACACGTCTTACCAATCGCCAGGTGTGGTAACCCCTCTTGTGATCAGTTGGTTTTGCTGATTGCGAATCGGCTTCGCATGAAGTTTCGATACTGCTTCACGACAGCGCCAAGACCTTATGACTTAGCTCTTCCATGGCCCATTCTCCGAGAGAGGGGGCCGGCGGCAGGGGGCGAAGCCCTTACGGATTATAACAGTTGGCGGCGGGAGGTGACCCGTCGGAGAGCGGCGCTCGGTAGCTCGGCCAAATGCTCACCACTTGCGCACCCAGCGGGCACCGCTTTCGAACACGACGGTCTGGTTCGGCAGCAGCTGGCCCTCAGGGAACGGCGGCTCCACCAGCACCTTGGTGCCCCGCACGACCCCCTTCTTCTCGTACGTCTCGCCGCTCCTCTTCTTCAGCTGGAACGCGATCGAACACTTGTCCTCAGAAGAATACACGGGCCATTGCAGGCATTAGCGTCCGGACGATCGCGGACTGTGTCTCCACCAGCGCCGGACCCCCTTCTCTCCACACCCCTAGAAGAATAGCAGGCTGCACCAACATAGACTGTCGAAACTCCGCGCGGATCTCTAGCAGCGCATGCTCGTGCTGAATTGTCTCATTCGACTCCTTCCGATGGCGCGGGAAGCGGGCAAGGGAAGTGGCGCCGGAGGCGCCACTCAGGGGTGCGTTGTAGTGCCCACTGCCAGCGGAGAAGCAATCCGCACACGTCAGAACGCTTAGAAGTATAGGCGGCTGGTGACTGGTTTCTGGAATTCGAGAAACTGTTTTTTGTATCAAAACCTGGATTTGGATTCAAGCAAGAAGTTTTTTGGCAAAGAACGCAGGGCGAACGAACACTTGCCAAAACCATCCTGCTCATTCGACTGATCTGTGTCACCTGCTCGCCAAAGGTCCAATGCTCCCGAGAAGACCTGCCCAAAAGCAGATCGGGGTCCAGAGGGCTTAGACACGGATACCATGAGGCTCGCGCTCCACAAATGGGCCTGCTCTCAACCCGCGCACTTACAAGCCGAAACTGGATCCTGACAGACACGGGTCCTGCAACCCAGGACCATCCCCCTGGGCATTCCCGCATCTGAAAACGTTGTTTTGACAATCCTGTGCCACACGGAGGGCCCCGAGAGCAAGAGCGCCAGAAAGCGCGGACGAACAAAAAAAAGCCCCGCTTCCATCAGGATGCCGTTCCTTCGGGACGCCATGTCAACTACAGTCCTGCTTCACTTGAAACAGCTCGCCGTGCGCGTCCGAGAACCTCAGGTTTGCCAAGAAAGGGGGCCAGGAAAAAGAGGGGCTAGCGCATCATGGCCGTGGCATGTGCGCGGACGAGGGTGAGGGCCAAGGGGATGCGTTGAAGAAAGAAGAGAGTGTAATTAGACCAGCTTGGCACAGGGACGAAAGGACTCGTACTCTGTGAGGGCGCGAGATCGCTTGCTCCATGCCTTGGAGCCTCCTTGGTGTTAGGACTCTGCGACGCCAGACGGGACAACGCACAGACACCCTTGCGAGCATCAACGAGTGTGGCCTCTCTGGGCCTTCTCGGGTGTCCGTTCGGGGCTCAATTCGGGCAGTCGTGGGGCCCTCCTGGGTCGCCCTGAGGCCCTTCGGGGCAGTCATGGGGGGCCTGGGCCGTCTTGGAGGGGGGGCCCTCTCGGGGCACCCTGGGGCCCCTCGTGGGACGATCTTCGGGGACTCCTGGGCCGCCCTGGGCCGTCGGAGACACGAGAAGGCGAGAACCCAAACAACTTGCAAAACCATGGGAGCATCGATGCGTTTGGCCTCCTCGGGATCCTGTTGCGGCAACGTTGGGCCCTCTTGGGGCCCCCTCGGGCCGTGCTGAGGCTCTTGTGGGCCGTCTTGGGGCGTCTGGGAGGGCTTTGGTTGTCTCGGGGATTTGCCCTCCTGGGGCCCTCTTGGGAGCCACTTGGGGTCCAGTTGGGGCTCTCTTGGGAGGCCCTCTTGGGAGGCTCTCTTGGGAGGCTCTCGTGGCGTTAAGGAATTTGGAACGCCATTCAAACACGAACTAACAATCGTAGGAACATCGATGACTATGCCCTCTATTGGCTCTTTGGGGGTTCTTGGGGGTTCCTTTGGGACGTCGTGGGCCCCTCCTGGGTCGCCATAGGGCCTTATTGTGCCGTTTGCGGGGACCTGGGTAGACTTACCAGGGGGCCCTCTTGGGACAGCTTGGCGCCCTCGTGGGGGCCTCTTGGGCCAACTTGGGACAATCTTGTTGGCCTCTTGGGTAGTCCTGGACCGTCGGAAGCCCAGAACAGGCGAGACCCCAAAAAACTTACAACTACAATCGGACAATCAATGCGTTGGACCTCCTCAGGATCCTGTTGGGGCAATGCCGGGCCATCTTGGGGCCCTCCTGGGCCGTCCTGAAATCCTCATTGGCCGTCTTGGGGCGTCTTGAGGGTCTTTGTCCAGATTGGCGCTTTCCTTGGTGCCTCTTGATGCCTCTTGGGGCCCCCCTGAGAGCCACTTGGGGCCCACGTTGGGCTCTCGTGGGAGCCACTTGGGAGCAACTTGGGGCCCCTCTTGGGTTCCACTGCGGCTGCCTGGGGGCCCTCTTTGCACGCCTGGGGGGCCCTCTGAGGGGCCTCTCGGGCCATCCTGAGACGATCGTGGGGGCCTCTTGGACCGTCCTGGGCTGTCGGAAGCTCGAACAAGCGAGAATCCAACAAACCTTATGACAACCTTTGGCAAATTAATGTGGTTGCCGAAGGCAAATCAATGAAGGTTTTTTGGGACTCTATTGGGAACCAATAAAGGCGTCGTAAGGCCATCGTAGGCCATCTTGGAGTGCTGTTGGGCGTTCTTGGCCGTCTTAGAGCGCTCCTTGGCCGTCTTGGAACATCTTGGACCTCGCCCGGGGGGCATCTTGGGGATATCCGAGCCCGTTCCTGGGCGCCGTTGAGGCCGTCTTGGGGCTGGGCGAGTGTTGACACCCAGTTGGGCGCCCTACGCCCCTCCCCTGGACCGCTCCCTAGAGGGCTTCGCCCCAACTCAACGCCCTAGAGGGCTTCGCCTGTACCTCGCTCTTTCCGTCACTTTACCCGCGCCCATCCCCCCCCTGGAGACCCCGTTGGGCGAACGCCCTACCTAGAACGGAACCGCGTAAACGCTCTTTCCGCCATCTGGGATTGGCGAGGCCAACCCACTCACACTCCCACATTGAGATTTCTCGCGACAGACAGATCGCGAAGATACGCGCGCTGTCCGACATCTGGGAAACATATTCCCCGACCATGAGATACGCACCCCCTACAGTGAAGCTGCTACCACACATAACGTTTAATAAAATGTTACACCCCTCTTCGGCCCTGGAAGCGCCTCTGTACACGAGGAACGCTGGAGAAACGAACGCAACGAACGCAAGCAACGATGAGCCCCTTCCGAGCCCACGATATTCCTTACCTTAGCGTCCTTACTAAAGGGGAACGACACAGGGGACTGGCTCAGTGGGAGAAACATAGGTCTGCAATCGGCGATACATCGCCGATAGACCCGCGATCGATTGGCCCCCGATCGCGAATCGGCACCTTTTCTGGGCTGGGTGAGCCATCTGGCCGCTACTGGCGATGATTGGGCGATTGGGTTTCGATGCGTCCCCCTCCTCACGTCGGCCGCTTCCCCTTCTGACGTTGCCCCCCGGCTTTCGGACCAAAGCTCGGCTCTGCGGCGGCCGGTCGGGACGCAGCCCCAGACGTCCCGCGGCGAGGCGCAGGTGCTGGAGAGCATTCCGAGGCGAGAAAGCCGTCGATGACAAGCGAAAGCGCCCCACAACTCCTGAGCCGATCTCCCCGTGAGCTTACTCCGGATGCGATCACCCCTGAACATATTTCGTGGGACGGGCTCGAAATATAAACCAAGACGTCTGGTCGGCACTATATATTGGCGCATAGAACTCCCAGCTTCCAGATCCGCGGGATGCTAGACCGAATTACTTCGTGGTTAGGTCTTAGGTAAGACATGGTATGTACATCGAACTTGTCCGATCCCCCCAACGTTGCCCCTAACCTTCTCTGGCGCCCCCGAAGAACCATCTGTCGCCACCGAGGTCGGCGCAGCCGGTCTTGGCAATCGCGGCCTCCATCTCCGCCGCGAGCGAGCGTTCGCGGGCGCGCCTGCGGGCGCCCTTGGGGCGGTCGGCCTCCGAGTCCTGGTCCGCGGACATCGCGCCCGCCTCGAAAGCGATACGGAACCCGCCTAGCAGACCAGGGCCGGTCCATGGCACGGCCTGGTTAACACAGGCCCAACGGCATAGATTTACCCACATTCTTAAAACAGCCAGAAAATCACCGCGATGGTGGGGGACCCCGTGTGAGAATTCTCTCGGCGAGTCTGGAAATAATCCTCACCGTCGTCCTCGTCATTGGCGAAGCGTCCTTCCTGTCTCCTCTGCGTCATTTGCCTTCTCGACGTGGCGCAGGCCCTCCTCCCGCTCCCTGCGTTGCCCCCTCCTCGCCCATCTTCTTTAGCAACCCCCCACCACCTCTTGTCAATTGCAAGAACGCGCGTGTCGATTTTCCTCGGCGCCGTCGCCGCGTCGGCCAGCAGGGGCGCGTTCTCGAATGGCCACATCGCGAAGCCGTTGGGGCAACCCCGCGGGCCAGGCCGTAGGGACAACCCCGCGAACCGCTGGCGCGCGAGACCAAGCCCCGCGGGCTTCGAGCGGGGAGCCGCCGCGATCAGGCGGGCGGAAACACAAACTCCACCTCCGCTGCGAGCTACAGGGAAAAACAAACCAGACCGTCCGCACAAAGGTTCGGGCGGCAGAATGGACAGCTTGGACAATCGGCCGGTCGCGCCGTGGCCAACGCCGTGGCTTCAAAAAACCAAGCGCCTCCGTCGGAGGCCGATCTCGCTAGCAACCGTCTGATTGGCCATGTAGTCGCTCAGGCAGACGTGTGATACGATATGGATGTAGGACGATTTTTGTGGTGGGCCTGGTTTCGGGCGCGGATGGGCTACCACCCGCGCCATGGACGCAAGGGTTTCCCCCTGCGCCCGATTCGGCAGGGGATGGGTTACCAACCCCAGCCCGGACGCAAGGGTTTTCCCATGCGCCCGATTTGGCTGACGATGGGTTACCACCGCCAGCTTGGACGCAAGGGTTCCCCTGCGCCCGATTCGGCAGACGATGGATTGCCACAGCCAGCCCGGAGACAAGCGTTCCCCCCTGCCCCCGATTCGGCTGAGGATGGGTTACCACCCCTGGTCCAGACGCAAAGGTTTCCCCCTGCCCCCATTTCGGCTGACAATGGGTTATCACCGCCAGCCCGACGACAAAGGTTTCCCCCTGTCCCCGAGGCCGATGACGGGTTACCACCACCGGCCCGGACGCAAGGGTTTCCAACTGCGCCCAGCCGCCGTCGTCCTCCTCAATTCCTGTTCCTGGGACCTCCTAACATCTGGGGCCTTCCATTCCTCCTTTCCTCTCTCCTCTTTTTCCCCGTCCCCTCTCCGACCCCGCCCCCTCCCTCCCCCCAAGGAGCTCCCCCGGTCGAGAAAATCCCGACCTGACTTCCTCCGTACTCATGCTGGAAGAGCCCGGCCGAATTCCAGGTTGCAATTTTGCCAGCGGCCCGCGCGGATTCCACGATATGGGGCTCTCACAGGGAGGGGGCTCAGGCCTGAGACTTCCTCGCAATTCACTCACAGACGAGGCTCCCGCCTGAAACTTCGTCAAGACTCAGGCCTGTGACCCAAAAGAAACAACAGTTACAGGTCTCCGAAAACCTGCTCCGATCAAAAAACAGGAAGTGCGGGACTCATAGGCAGGGGGCTCCCGCCTGAGACTTCCTCGCAATTCACTCCAAGACGAGGCTCCCGCTTGATACTTCCTCCATATTCACGCCGAAGGAGCCCAAAGGTGACGACAAATACACAGTTCCGATGACCCGCTCGGATTAAAAACATGAGGCGCGAGACCCACAGGCAGGGGGCTCCCGCCTGAGACTTCTTCGCAATTCACTCAAACGAAGCTCCGGCCTCAGATTTCTTCTAGAAGCAGGCCTGAGGAGCCGAGACTTCCACCACATTCAATCCAGAAGAACCGAAAGGTAGCGACGGTTACAAGGATCCGATGACCCGCTCGGATTACCAACATGAAGTGAGGACCCCACAAGGAGGGGGCTCTCACCAGAGACTTCCACAAAGTTCACAAACGAGCAAAACTCCCGCTCGAGACTTCCTCCACATTCAATAGAAAGGAGCCGAAACGTGACGACATTGACACGGATCCGACGACCCCCGCGGATTACAAACATGAGCTGCGGACCCCATAGGGAGGGAAAGTCCCGCCTGAGTCTTCCTCACAATTCACCCACGGACAATGCTCCCGCTCGATCTTTCCTCCATATTCACTTTAGAGAAGCCGAAAAGTAACGACAGCGACAGGGATCCAATGACCCGCTCGGACTACCAACATGAAGTGCGGACCCCAAATAGAGGGGGCTCTCGCCTGAAACTTCCTGAACATTCACCGACAGACAAAGCTCCCGCATGAGATTTCCTCCAGAAAGGAACCGAAAACTGAGGACAATGACGCGGATCCGATGACCAGCTCGGACTAGTGGCATGAATTGCGGACTCCTTAGGGAGGGGGTTCCCGCCTGACACTTCCTCGCAAATTCACCCACGGACGAGGCTCCCGCTCGAGCTTTCCTCCATATTCACTTTAGAGAAGCCGAAAAATGACGACAAATACAAGGATCCGATAACCCGCTCGGATTACCAACATGAAGTGCGGACCCCAAACAGAGGGGGCTCTCGCCTGAGACTTCCCCGCAATTCACTCACAGACGAAGGTCCCTTAAGGTCGATGGTCACGATGGGATGATGATAATGATCAGTGTGTGATGATAGTGGTGATGGTGAGTTGGGTATAATGTCGCTGATGAGGAGGTGTGCAAAGCTGATGATGATGATGATGATGATGATGATGACGACGATGGTGATGATGAGTGTGTGTGTGTGTGAGAGCGTGCTGGTGATTATGAATGAGTGTGCGTGTGCTGAATGTGACGATGATGATGGTGCGTGTGTGCGTGAAGAGGAGAGGAGGTGAGGACGAGGACTTCGCGGAGGTGTGCAAAGAACATAATGATCCCACTTAGGATATGGAACACCATATTTTCAGGGGAGCGGTATACGCTTGGGCGGGGTGGTGTACGTCGGGGCGGGGGTGCGCCGAGATCGCCAGAACACGCGCGCGAGCACCAGCATGTGGGGGGGGGGATCGGGGGGGTCCAGCCCCCCCTCCCCCCCAACACCCCCACGTGCGAACATTAACGTACCAAGGGGGGGGTCGCCTTGGCCTGGGTAACGACCGTTACGCGCCATATGCTAAAATTTCCTGGCGAAGGACCCGACCATACGTAGTTGTGACTCCGCTGTCAGTGCAATGCCCTATGGCCACGATCTTCGTGATAGATGTGCCCAAATCGGCCGCGTACCGCATGCAGGCGCTGCCACTAGGGCCTTCGGTGGAGCTCCCAGTGAGGCCACGATCCTCGTGAGAGGTGTGCAGAAATTGGGCGTGTACCGCACGCTGGCGCTGCCACTGGGGCATTTGGTGGAGTTCCCAGTGGGTCCAAGATCATTGTGATGGGTGTGCCGGAATGTGTCGTGTACCACATGCGGGCGCTGTCACTGATGCCTTCGGTGGAGCTTCCTGTGAGGCCATGATCCTTGTGAAGGAACGTGCCGAAATGATGCGTGCACCGCATGCAGGCGCTGCCACTCTGGCCTTCGGTGGAGCTCCTGATCGGGCCCACGAAGCGTTTGGTGTTGACGATGTTGTTGATGGTGATGGCGATGATAACGATGATGACGACAATGCTGATCCTGATGATCCTGGTGATCATGATGATGCTGGTGTTGATGCTGGTACTGGTGGTAACGAACATCATGGCGATGGCAATGATGATGCGACGTTGATGATGCTACAATGATACAATTATGCAATGGTGCATGGGGATGGGATGGATGACTCGATGGTGATGATGTCAAGATGGTGTTAACGCTAACGGAGAGGACAATACGGATGATGCTAATGTTGCTGATGCTGCTGATGATGGCGGTAACGCTAATGAAGATAAGAAACGGATGACGATACGACGAGGAGAGAGAAGGGGCACAAGAAGGAGAAGGAGGTGAGCTGAGGACGCGGGTTGCTGCTGATTCAAAACGAGGAGACAGCACAAATTGATGGCTGGGGAAACAACGTTTCGGAAACAAGGCCAAGGCCCGCCTGAGACAGGACCGACAACACAGATCTTCTTGCATCTTGGTCTCTGGCTGATACAACCAATACAGGGGCTGGCCAGAGAAGCGGCCGGGTGCAGCGCTAAAGCGTTTCATTCAAGACGCTCTGCTGTTACTCGCGGCTCCGTCCCGAAGAACTCTTGCAAAACAAACCGCGTCGGCGGAAGAGACATCGACACAATGATGATTTTTTGGGGGTCTCAAACCTATGCGGTGAAAGACGCGCGGTGACCTCGAAGCCCACAATGACTCCATCTCAAGGTCCATTCACCGCTTGGCGGCCTGACGGCCGCAATCGCCCAAGACAGACTCGCAGAACGACCCAAGTCCCAAAACCGTGTGGTCACAGCACGATCCACCACACGTTGTGGTCACAGCACCTTTTGAGGGCCCCCGACAATTTCTGAGGTCAGCGCGGATTCATCGGACCTGCACCAGGCAACCCTCCCTCTTGGACGCCTGGAATGGGTACGGAAACAGGGGACGCTGTCCAAAACCGACAGCGGCCGCTCTTGGACAGGCGATGATTGCCCAAAATGGATAGCATCAGCTGCGACGTCAACAGCAAATCCTGTTCCAATGGATCAGAAGTGCTGTCGGCCTTAGATCCAATTTCCCATACATCACCACTTGGACCGCACCGAATGTGGCGCCGGCGCCGATCGACGGACCCGCGCGGATCTCAAAATGATTATGTTTATGTCATTTTCTGTTCGACGCCTGGAAGAAGGCGACCGCCATCAGCGCTGCCGCCAACACGCGCACCATTGCTCGCCGAGGTGTCGGGTAGGTTCTGTTAGCGGGTCTCGGGAGCGGTTGCGCCCCCCCACTCCTGGGTTAAGGTGGCTCGTGTCAGAAACGGCTGCGGAACAGGACGGCCCACTGCGCTCAACTCGGGCGCACGGTAGCATGCACTAAAAATCCGCGGATCGGGCGCGTGGGCGCCAAATCCACGGATTTGGGGAGCACCCCCCCCGAAACGTGGCGCCAATGCCGCCTGATGTGGCGACGGAGCGCACCCACTCCGTACGGAAACGGAGCCCGCCGCTAATCCACGCGCCTTGATCCGTGTGTAAGTGTCCTCGAACCAATGGCCTCTCGGGAAAGCGCAGCCAAGAAGCGTGCACCCTATCCTCCCCGCCCTCCTCTGCCCTCCTCCTTTTGCCGTTTTTTTTTTGTTGTCCCCGCGGGGCCGAACCATGATTGTTTAAACCTACGTGCTTGAGGAGGCAGCTGCCCTAGCAGCTTCCTCTCTGGCCAGCACACGCTGGCTGATCGCACGCATCCCGTCCGTCTGGATGAGGCCTGTCATCGCACGTTGGTGCAGCGTGACCTCCTCGGGCGGTGGCAACGCGGCAGCGTAACATAAATTAGCAACTCCTCTCCGAGAACTCGTCGAAACCTCAGCCTGCACATTGGCTTGAGGAAAAAGACCGTCGTAGATGCGTCGTAGACTCGTGGCACCTCCAGCCAGCTTTCGCTGCTGGCACTCTCGTCCTAAGAGTCTGCATCTGCGGGTGGAATAGGCCCCGCAAACCGCACAGAAAAACAAAAACTTCTGATCCGATCCTCGAACTACCATGCAATGTGCGAGGGTGTGGCCGAGAGACATGTCGAGTGTTCGCTTCAAGGTCCTACTCATGCCTTACAGCCTATCATGGGTCTGGAGTCCTGGTCTCTAGCGAGGGTTAAACATCTGAGGCATCGCGCACGATCATTACCTAACTCTTGCCACGCGTGCCAACCTCCAGATTTTAAAAACTTGGCCCTCGGACCTGAACTCGTAACACGGTCAAACTTCTCTAAAGGAAAAACTGATAAGACTTTACCCATAACTCGGGCAATTGTCTTTAGCTGACAAAGCCTGCACTCAACCTCTTTTTCTTCAGCTGAGGAGGGTTGGGGATGGTCGAGGAGAGCTCTCTTGGCCTGGGCATCTGCATACCAATTACCCAGCGCGATTCTCTTCTCCCCCGCGGGTAGCTCGTCAATCTTGGCCAGCGCGCGATGTGCTGGCGTGCGATGAAACTGCGGCTGGTGTCCAGCTCGCTCGTGCAAAAGGGATCCACGTCTTAGGCCAGCATAACGGTGCTTCCTCGAGCACTGGTTGACCGCGGGCGACGTGCACATCTTGATTACCGTCATGCTATCCCCGTACCTGTCCCCCCCGTAGTCCTGGAACATGGGGGGGAGGGCCATCGCCTGCTGTTCAGCAGCTTGGGAGGTCTGGGGGAGGGTGTCAAGAACAGTACCTTGGGCAGTTGCAACTCTCTCATCATTCTCGGGCTCCAAAAAGACCCACGAATAGGCGGCCCTCGAAAGTTCACGAATCGGGTGTCGAAACGCCGAACCATCAACACAGACATCGAGCCCCCGAAGGTCAATCGAATCCCAAAGAACCTCCTTACCTTCCCCGTCGAAGAGGGTGGGGTTCGGGTTCGTCGAGGGGGGGGGGCCAGGTACTTTCGGGGTGCTCCCATTTCATTTCATCGAAAAACTTCCTATCTTCACCGTCCAAAGCCTCAGCGTACCAGGCGGGTAGCTCGTCGCCTAGCGCTTCAGCTCGTGCCTTGCTAGCATCAGGGTGAAGGCATCTCCATGCTCGATGCCGAACACTATCGGGAAGGCCGCAAAGAGGGCAGTCTCCTGCAGTGCTATAACCACACGCGCGAGCCCTTGCTCGCGTCCAAACTCCTTGGCAGAAAACCGTGAGTGCCAGATATTTTTCTCGCTGAGAGAGGCCTTTCCCCCTAGGGCCCAACAGCTTTTTCAAGGGTTCAACACAGACACGCGTCCCTTGGAATCCCTCAGTGCTCTCGGCTAACGCTCTCTCGTGGGATCTCTGAGTAGCCAAGTCCAACAACAACGAAAGCATGGAGGGAGAGGTGTAGGCCAAGGAAATCTCACGATTGTAGTCATCTCGAAACGTCAAAGCCGAGGTGGAAGTCCATCCAATCCTGTGCAGGCTAAGGTGCATCCTCTGAAGGGGTCCACGTGAGTTATTCCACGTGGTGCTATCATCGAAAGGGACATCACGCCAGAAACCGCACAGGTCTTTCACAGTGTGCAAGGAAGACTCAGGGCTAGTGATAGCCGTCCAAACAACAGCAGCCCACTGGAGCACAGGGGCAACAGCAGGTCTCCACATGGGGTCTCCAAGAACCCAGTGGTCCGATATAACCAAAAAATGGTTACTTATCAACATAGTATGATATAACCATATTTATAGTTATATCATATCATGTTCATTGTACGTGCTGTATACTCTATGTTTCAAGCGAGTTCACCCATATTTTCACATTTTCTTGTGAACCTTGTGGCGACCAGTTGCGTTGGCTCAAACTTCTCCAAAACTCACTTCCCCTTCATCCTTCCCCGTAAGAAACCTCCCTGTCCTCAAGGTTTGTTCTCTTTCTTTTGTTGTTGTTCTATCATTTTGTCACGTTTGTTACGCACTGGTCTCGCTCTTCGTTCTGGTGGGAGGTCCTTGTCGTCGTCGTCGTCGTCGTCGTCGTCGTCGCGGCGGTTTCCGCCGCCGTGAACGAGGGCCCAGGCGAGGGCCCAGGCGCCACGCGGGGCTTGGCGCCCGCTCGGGCGCTGCGCGGCGACTTTTGTCGCCACGGGGAAGGCCTCGGCTCCCGAAAAGAGAGCGAGGTGGAGGAAAGGGAGGAGGGGCGAGGAGGAGAAGGAGGAGGAGGAAGAGGAGGAGAATGAAGGCAAGAAGTAGGAGGACAAAACAAGGAACGAAAGGGTGCTGGGACGTGGAGGCCCAGCTGGGGGAGGAGGAGGAGGAGGAGGAGGAGGAGGAGGAGGAGGAGGAGAAGGAGGAGGATGACAAGGAAGGTGGTGGAGGACAAAAAAGGAAGAGGAGGGCGGGAAACATGCATCCTTCCTTGGGCCTTGCAACACCCCGACGACGTTGACGTTGACGACCCCCCTGAGAACCCTGAAACGAGGGAGACGAAAACGGCTCTCACCGGCCCCGCCCCTCCCTTTGCAGGGTGGTCGCGGCGCCAGCTTCAAGGACGTGGAGAAGCTCGCCGAGGTGTGGGGGAAACACATCTACGGCGTGGATGACATCCCCTGGGTGAAGGCCACGGATCCCAGGAACTCGGAGGTCATCATCGCACAGCGGGGCATCTTGATCGCCACTCGCGAGCTGGGCACGAGCATCTGCGAGAGCGCCGCTAAGGACCCCAGGGGATTAAGGAAACGAAGACGTCGAGGAGGATAAGGAGGATGAGGAGGAGGAGGAGCAGGAGGAGGAGGGGGAGGAGAAGGAGGAGGAGGAGGAGGAGGAGGAGGGGGAGCTCGAGCGGGAGGAAGAGGAGGACAAGGAGGATCGGGGAGGAGGACAACGAGGAGAGGCGTGGTACTGGAGATGGGCAGGCGGAGGAGGGGAAGGAGGAGGAGGAGGAGGAGGAGGAGGAGGAGAGATGAAGGAATGGGGCTTACCCTCGAGGCTGCCATGATGGAGGTCGCTGCCAAGAATGAGAACACGCGGCACTTGTCGTGCGAGGGGGCCGAGTGGGCCGCGCGAGCTGCCACGTCGATCAGGACGATGATGAGGCAGATCGCCGTCGCTCTTGGGCAAACGACCGCGCGGGCTCAAACGACGACGAGGGAGGATGATTGGTTGGCGGGGATAGCAGGGGAGAGGGAGGGGGTGGATGAGAGGGTGGAGGATTGAGAATGAGGAGGGCGAGGCGGATTTGAGGAGAGGAGGCTGACGGTAGATGGCAGCGGCGACTGAAACGCTCCCTTCAGGAAGCCGCCGAAGTGGTGCAGGCTGTTCGCGAACACGGAGTCGCAGCTGGCGAAGTTCCTCGAGAGCGACTCTGCTGGTCAGGACGACGCCGACGGCGGCGAAGGCGACCCCGCTGGCCAAGGCGATGCCGCCGGTGACGAGGAGGCGGCCGCGGAGCACCTCGAGCAGGCCGCGGAACCCGAGGCTGCTTCGGGCGCAGCGCCAGCGGCGCCAGTGCGCAGGGCGAGGTCCCTCGGCACCAAGCAGAAGCAGCTCGAGTACGTGGAGATCGTGGGCGGCTTCAAGTACGGATACGACGAGCGGCTCCAGGCTGCGTTGGGAGCAGGAGGAGGAGGAGGAGGAGGAGGAGGAGGAGGAGGAGGAGGAGGAGGGGGGGAGGAGGAAGGGGGGGGGAGGTGGAGGAGGGGGGCGATGAGGGGGAGGGGGAGGAGGAGGAGGAAGAAGCGAAGAGGAGGAGGAGGAGGGAGGAGGAGGAGGAACAAGCAAACACCACAGCAAGAACACAGCCTCGAGGCCGCCTACCGCATGGCGGTCGACAGCGCCTCGGCCGTGGCGGAGTACACTGCGGTGGGCGCGGCGGCCAGCGTGAAGGAGCTCGTGGCGCTGTGGCCCGACGGCACCACGTGGAAGGTGCCAGGGTCGGACTCCAGCGTGATGGAGGACGAGGAGGATGAGGAGAAAGAGGAGAAGGAGAGAGGAGTGAGAGGGGAGGGGGAGGGGGAGGGGGAGGGGGAGGAGGAGGGGGAGGAGGAGGAGGAGGAGGAGGAGGAGGAGGAGGGGGAGGGAGGAGGAGTAGAAGGAGGAGGGAGGTCCCTGAGGGTCCTTGCATCCCCCCAGATCGATTTAGGGTGGCGGCCTCCCTCAAGTGAGAACTCCCCATTCCCCTATGCTCATGGAGCCAAGGGGGAAGGGGCGAGACGGCCCGACCGCCGCGCGTTCTCGAGTGCCCCTCCTCAGAGGAGCGCGGGAGGGACAGCTGCGTCTTCGCCGAGGGCAAGTG